AATGAATATGTGCTAGCAATGTATGTTTTGCCCTAAGAAAAATTTTCGCGTTACAATTTTATAAATTTTGACGCGGCTGCACTAAAATTGTAAAAATCTTGCTAGAGTTTAGTGCAATTGAAAAACGATTTGAACTTTCGAGAAATTAACAAGATCATGAAGGTATGATCGTTCATTAGCTAGAAAAACAGCAGTATGAATAATAGGATTAAATTAAAGAATCGGGTTATGGGAATAACACACTAGGTCCGACTGCCTAATAAGAAAAGCTTTCGTGGCGGATTTTCTGCAAAAACTTAGCCAATATTTGAGTTATGCATGAAGGAAACCATGACTTCATTTAATCAGTCGTTTAATTGCGGACAACTATCACTTTGATTTAGTTTATGTGATTACGGTAAAGCCTTGATGACTATATTCTTAAAGGAAGGGATGCCTTCGTAGAGAACTTTCTAAGAGAAGCTGGCGCGTATACACGTTACACATGGGGAAAACCGCGAAAGCGCCCATGCAAACAGCCTTGTTCGTAGGATTACTACCAGTGTTCAGTGACTTTACCGCTGGTGAGCCTTCCAGAACTATCAGTGTTTTACGGTTCCAGTGCCTCGGCCATTGGTAAGCGCTAAAGAAGGAAATCAAAAGAACGAGGAATACTAGCATGTTTCGAACAAAAAACTGAAAATTATAAACCTAGTTTACTGCCATTTAGAAAATGCAAGAGAAATTTTATTTGCTACTGATCTTAATATGAAAAGGAATTGTGAATTCTTTTGAAAGGGATCCTTTGCTGTCGCAAATTGCATGATAAGACAGCTCTAAATATCTCTGCTTAATTCTTTTGAAGAAAAAAAAATAACTTACTTAAGTATTTAGATAATAAATAAAAAATATAAGTTGACGTCTATGACCTTTAATGATTTAAATCTCTATTTTATTCATTTGCTTAGTTTTCCGTTTTTAGGCTTATTAATGGATGAATTATTAACCTCCACCAATTCATTTAGTCATTGATATTGCTTATTATTAATTAATGCGATTTCGCCCAAAGAACATAAATAGAGGGATGAATTGCATTATTTATAAATTACTACTTTAAAACAACGTTTTTTTTATATAATACAATAATATGTAATACAATAATTATGTAATATATGACTCATCAAGCATGAAACGACAATAGCTAATAAGAAAGTTAGTGTCCAAATACAAGTTTATTCTAATATATAAATTTATGAAATAATCAGAGCATAGCATAGCAATTAAAATAAATGCAAAATATATCTGTTAAATAGAATATGAATATCTAATACATATGTATGTATGATATGCAGCTAAAGAGCATTATACGTCTTCAGAATAAATTGCCTAAGCAATAAATTCTTCATACATTTCTGACAAAGTAATATCGACGTATATAAATTATTTATATATGTTCCCACCAGATGGCGTTAGTTGTTCGCATACAACTGGCGGTCATGGCTTCTGCGCAACTCGCTTCAGCGCGCCCTAATTCGCATATCAGCGATGGAATCAACATTTAAATCTAGCGGTATGCCTGATTACATGAACGGAAAACGACCTTTTCCGGCCAGGGGTAAAAAAGAATGCACAATCGTTAGTCACATGTGACCCTGCTTACGATAGTGATGAAGCTACGAATTTGCAAGTCAAGATTTGGTTATTTATTTCTTTCTCTTTCGATAAATAGAAAGAAAGAGTGCTGGGAGGAGGGAGGAAAAAAATTGCTACAAACAAGAATATGAATATGTATGAGAAATAAACGAAAACACACAGCTTCGTTCATTTCATAAGCGTCCTGATAAGTTAAAAGTAATAAATGAGCTTCACTTTTTTTTTTTTTTTTTTTTTTTTTTTTTATTTGGAACAAAAGCTCCGTATCAAATAAAAATGCAAGTAAAAATATAAGTTGTGAAATTCTGAAATAACCTGTAGTGGTACTAATTATAATTGTCCAGATTTTATGATAATAAATTAATCTTTAATTATCACCAAAATCTTTGTATATTTCAGATAAAGAATTTGTATCATGTGTCGAGGCACGTAACATACGTCGCTGAAAATATACTTTAATTAATAATTACAATGATGCAAATGCTAACAGTTTATCAGTTGGATATACAGCAAAATCTATTTTAAATTAAATAAAATACGCATGTTATAAAAATATATTTGAAAATTTAAATTATTAAGAAGTTCGTTTGTTGCTTTTAAATCCCTTAATATCTTAAGCAAGTAAAACTTGAAAAGAAAGACCTTTCGCCGCAACCACTACTTTGTTTCCGACAACTGGCTATTTATAAGGTCACATGGAAGGTCAATTAAAGATCTATTCCCACGAACAAAGGTAAGATCTGCACATCGCATACACGGAGGTATTTTTTTTAGAGTTTAGAAGAAGCACAGAGTAGCAAAATGTAAGGATAGAAAAATTTGCAGAATTTACAGGACGCACGGAGCAGCAGAATTTAAAAGTCGCAAGGATTGCAACGGACGACAAAATGCTTAGCGTTGTCTCTGCAAGCATGGATGATAAATTAACAGAATCTGACTAAATGTAACGATAAAAATTTTTGCGAAGATTCTGCTAAAGATGTTTATGATGTCTGTTAAACGTTCTAATCTATAACAATGTGGTAACGCCTCGAAGTATTTTCATTAAAGTTACAGAAAATTAAAAAATATTTTAAAATCATAAACTTTTACATTAAAACAATTTAACATGACTTTTATACGCTGATTACACTTTAAAGTCAAAAAGAAATTTAAGCTAAACAATTACCATTAGATTAAGAATTAATCAGATAGAGATAAAAAATTTAGAACATAAAATCATTTGTTTAAAAGCGATTGTTAAAAATTTCATTGCTAAATGATAAACGGCAGAGGAAACCTGCAATAATATTTCATCCAGAAATATAGCCATGCGGAATTTTATACATTTATCTGTCGAAGAAAAGACTTAGTTACTCAACATGTGGCAACATGTGTACGTATTTCAATGGCCCACTTATATGGGAACCTAGCAATATTATTTCCCTCAAATATCAATACTTTTTTTTTGACAGGACAACAAATCCATTTATTGAAAAAAATAAACACCAAGGAAGAGGGTTTCTTCAAAGTTCGCGCAAAATTATAAAGGACGAGGAAACTAAATGACCAGCTTTCAGACTGTTTCCTTTTAACGATGTTATTTCTGGTTAAGTGGATTTCGAATAAGCGAAGCTCGGATAAGCGGGGTTTTCTTAAAAGTTTTTAATTGACATGTTTATTAAGCGAGCAGGTGTGCTAGAATAGAAAAAAAAAAAAAAAAGAGCGAGATCTACAACTGCACAACATCATCTTTATTTCATAAAACGCCACTGCTTTCTGCATTTCATAGTTTTTCAGTGAGACCAACCCACCAGCGGCAAAGTCGCTGAAGTTCGGTTCGGGGTTCGAATCTCAGCGAACGGGCGTTTTCGTTGTTTTCCCCATGTGTGGCGCGCATATTAGCCACGTTCCCTTAAAATGTCATCTACGAAGGCATCTCTCCCCTTAGCTTAGATAGCCCTCGAGAGCTTTGAAGTAATTAAATTAACCAAACCAAGCAATTTCAGATACTCCCAGCTGTTGAAAATATGATGTTATTTATTTTGCTTTGTGAATACGGAATGGATACGAGAGCAGAGAAGTACAGATACTTTTATACATTGATTCTCTCCAATAATGTTTCTCTTACTGAAATACCAGCGAAAACCAATGGCCACTAAAAACCATGCTCAACAAATTACACACCCCAATACCACTTTACGACTGGCAGCGCAGTACGCGAAATCGTTGGAATGCTCGATATACAGCAGTCATCATTTGGAGAAGAATGAAACTTCAGATTGCCACTTCGAAGATTCAAGTGGCCTTTGAAGGAAGACGTTAACTTCCCAAGACAACGTTGAAGGACTGCGTAACGCTGTTACCTAGCAACAAACTTAGCATTGATTTTCCCTTCTCTTCAATATTATGGTAACGAGAAAGGAAAGAATTTCTTCACGATAACAGGCCCCTATATTTCCCTATTGTTTCCGATTTCATATTTGAATGATTCAAGAGGTTTTCTTTCTTGTTGAGTTTGAAACGAGTTTTCAATTCGCAAATTCTGTCCAACGGCGGACTAAAAATGTAGATAATAAAGTACTGTAATAAAAATATAAATAACAGGTTATTATAATAAAAATTTAGGTAATACAATATCACATAAAAAGACATACAATTTAAAATCTTTCTTTTCTAAAGTTACGATATAAAAGTAACATTTATTTTTATTTTAAATGTGGAGTCCCACCAGTGGACCTAGTGGTTAAGACCCCTGAATACTGGAAATTCGACTTGCATTCGATCCCAGACGAACGGGCTTCCTGCAGGATCGATTTTCGTTGTTTTTCTCATGTGTAACATTAATACGACACAGTTACCTTTAGAAAGTACTTCACGAAGGCATCCATCCTTTTAAGCAGGTACCCCTCGTGAACTTTGCCATATTCAATTAACTAACCTTTAAAAGTGTACTTGTATGTATTCAAGCTTAACTAACACAAGAATTCATTCAAATAAAAGCTATTTAAAAAAAATGTAATAATAAATTACTCATGACTTATTTACTTATCTTGTAATTTAATTTAAAATATATTACTTGTAATTTTATATTTATATAATGTTGTGATTTGCGGCGGCGGAACGCACAGTATTTATTATGTTCAGCAAGTATTTAAAACTGCTGCACCGACTGCCGTACAGAAGAGCCCTGGTTCGATTCCCGAAGAAGACATGGATGTTTGTAAACGTATAGTGTGTGTGAGGCATGGAGCACTCAAAATATGCGGCGGGCCAAAAGTCCCCTTGAGAGGTTGATGGTAGAGGAAGACGAATGTGACACCCTCGGCCCCCCCCAGGGCGCTCTCCTTCAAAATTGAGGGCGGACCTGAGCAAAGTCGTAATATCACCTGTATGGTGCTCAAGGCTCTTGCCAGCCACAGTAGCAGTCTTGCAATTCTTGCAATGAGGAATTTCGTGCGCTTGTTCTGATGGCACTGTCAGACGAGTAAGATAAGTCACAACAACAACAAGCATGTAAAAGTACGGCCTGAAATGGTATGCACTAGTTATTCCAAAGTTTTAAGTAATATCACCTTTAAATGATCTCTGTACATAAAAATAGCGCTCAGAATGAAATATGAAAATTTAACGCAACTTGGAAACTTTATTCAACAAACTTCAGTTGGACACTATATCAATATATTAATTATCTGCAGACCTCAGAAAAGAACATAGCCACCACTAGGCCCTCGTCTGTTTATGTTACGTATAGAAAAATCACGTAAAACAAACGCAGTTAGTTTCTTAAGGCTCCGTTCAGACGGTGGTATAAATGGCATTGAGGCATATAGTCATAAGTCATAAAATGCGGGCGTCTAATTCGTAGGCAGTTAGAAACAGTGTCTAAGCCGTAGCCAGTTAGAGAAGCTAAATTTACGCATGCGTGGATGTGTCTACAACTTTCCATCTTTGTTTTCCCACTCAATGAGTTCCGCGCGTTCTGATTGGTCGACTCTTATACCAAGTCAGCATAAGGTTGAAAATTTCGAACTTTATGCTAAAGCCCCTAAATCAGTTTTCGTGAGGTAGCAAAGTCTGATTACCTAGCAGAGTTTAAACAAGTTATGAGGTTTATACCACCAGCTGAACGGAACCTAGAAAGCCAGAACCTAGCCAAAGACAAATTAATAACATTACATAACTTTAAACTATCGATAAATGGTAGACTATTACTGTAACGGACACTGATTTTTTTTAATACTATATTTCTGATTACGTTCATATTTTGTCTAATAAGATTAATTAGCGGCTGAGTTGAATGGTAGTAATCTGAGTTCCGGCGACAGAAGAGGCTGGTTAGGACAATTGCTGTTTTCCTCATATGTGATGCGAATACGAGTCAGTCTTCCTTAAAAAGCTGTATAAGAAGATATTCTTAATAAATCAGATTACTCTGTCATAAATAATTGCTGTAACTCGTCTTACAAGCATTTCCTGTAATTACTTCTTTCGTACCCTCTCCAGAAGCCGACGACAGATTACAGACAGTTCAACCTGAATTCGAATTGGGCTGAATGGGGCAATTCACTGTTTTTTCGATATGTAATATTAATACGAGCAAATTTCCTTTAGTAAGTCCTCAGAGAATCAAACCTTCCCGTTAAGCAGACAGCTCTTCTGAGATTTATCGTTATTCGATCAAGAAAACAGTGAGATATTTGTGTCTATACATGATAACATCACAATAGCGTAGTTTATGTTTTAATACCAATTAAAAGAAGTACCAGTACGAAACACTATAATGAACAGCGTGAATAACTTTATGACCTTTAGAAAAAAAAACAGGAATTTTCCGGAAAAATTATAAATCAAGAGCTCGCTTCTATTAAAATGACAAAAATGTCACTCAGTTTTTTTGAGAAAGCAGTTGAAAAATTAAGTCATGAATCCTTAAAAATAATTAAGAAACGCATTTTAAAAATGTGCCCTTAACGAGTTATATGCTTAGAAAAGATGAGTGCCTAAGCAAAAGATTCTTTTGTGTGAATTCATCCATCATTCTTAACTAGTTACGGGTTTTTTCTACCACCGAGATGCTAGAGAAAGAAGAGAGATAGGAGGAAGCTTGAGCAACGACGTTTTATTTTCGAGCCTTCCGCCCATGTCTTCTAAATTTCAGCATTCAACAATATAAATTAAGTTATACGAGAACTTTGCATTCACATGTTTTATTTTTCGCATTTCATACAGTTTGCTTAAATTACAAATAATTATGCTTTCTTGTAAAAATATCTTCATCCTTAGTTTTCCTTTGATATAAATTCATGAAATTTACTTAATTTAAATCCCATGAAATAATACTGAATTTAAATCTGTATTTCAGAATCTACTATTCAATATGTATGCAGCATATAGTATTCATTCACGGGTAAAATAATTTTAAAAATTAAATTTCTCGTTTCTTTCTCAATTTAATCATATAAAGAAGTATAGGATAGGAATATTACGATACGAAAGAAGAAAAAAAACTGGTTTAATTTTTTTAAAATATTTGAGTTCCATTGGTGCATTAGTTTTAGGTCTAGAAACCTTGTAGAATGCTGTCACATTGTCAAGGATTCAGTTCCCGAATTTCGGGAGTTTTCTAAAGTGCAGAGTAAACACAAACCAGCTTCCTTCAGGAGGTTCTCTCCAAAGACATTCTTCTGTCTAAACACAAAATGTTAGACAGCTCTGCCATAATTAAACAGATCCAAAGCAAACATTATATTTCTGCACATAATGGTGAATGTTAGTGAAGAGAAGGGCTGACATATAGACGTAAATACTTTAAAAGTTGCCAAACAACTGTGCTTAACAAAAAAGTGTTTATAATAGTTTTATAAAAAATTGCTTTCTATCATGATAAAATTCCTAAAAAGGTATGATTAAAATAGAAAAAATGACTTACGAAGTGCTTTCGAAGTAACTTAAACTACAATTCAACGCTAAAATTATCACACTGAAAAATAAGATTGCCTCAAATATAAGCGCCTCCTTACATTTCAGCATAAGTTTTAAGAAGTAAAAATACAGGTAAACAGTTATTTTAATTTGCAGTCATTCCGTGAGATAGATTATTAGTTTATTCTTCTTCCTTCGAAATTTTCTTAACCTTTTGAAGGCCGAAACGCCCGAGACGACCTTTCATTCAAACGACCACAATCCCCACAACGGCCGAAATTGCGATGTTGTTTTCTTCCCTTTCCCCGAGGTATGCAGTAGCAGGTACAGTTTCCCTAAACTTATTATATCAGTTTATTGCAAACAACTTGTCCTAAAAGGCTAATGGAAGTTTCTTTGTGAAGAAGTAGAAAGGATGTCATTTGAAATCTCCACACCTCTTTGTGCATTAAAGGACGGGGAGGGAAGGGGAGGAATCGGACGGGACGTGTAATGGTCGGGAACGAGCGTTTCGGTATTTTAAGCATACATGTTTATGAAGACTTTCGTTTACGTTAAGGGGTTTCCCTTTCGTTAAGTGGAGTTGGAACCCCAAAATCTTCAAAAAATTGTGATTTCGGATTGTTGCATTTTCAAATGCTCTACACTTTTATCCTTCTAAAAATACCATTCTTTAATCTCTATGAAAATTAGAACTGTAAAAAAATCTAGTTTTAATTTGTCATCTACTGCTTTGATCAATAAGGAAACGCGTTTTTCTCCAAACGTGATTTTTTTATACTCGATGTACCTTTTCTCCGGAACTACTGCTCACAGGTATCTAAACTTTTTATGGCTTATCTATTAGGTTCCCTAATATTTACTGAAATGAGCTTTTTGTAATAAACTTAGAAAAAAAGGTTTTTTTTTTTATTTTTATTTTTTTGTGTGAGAAAAGTGTTAATTTTAATATGCCTAACAAAATATCCTGTAATTTACTCTAAGTTTCAAAATGTTTCAAAAGCTCATTTCAGTATAATCAGATAGGTATACTTTAATTACAGAAAAAATTCAAGCTTGTATCTACAGCAGACTTTGAGAAAAGGTACATCGAAAATGGCCAATTTAACATTGCCGGTATAGGGGTTTCTGATACCATTAAAATAACAGTGTCGTTAGCTGCAACTTAAAGACAAAGTGATGGTAAGGAAAAAATTAGTGATACATGGTTTACCTCATTGTTTCCAATCATATTAGTATAAGGGTGCAGACTTTAACTGAAATCTCTCAGCTAGATATATGGTAATCACCTACATGGTTTATCTTAAAAGTGTTATTACTTTATGGAGTACAATAACGTAATTCTTTCTTCTCATTCTGCAGTCTCATTTATAACAAAAATGTCATCAAACGAGGGGGGGGGCTCGTTTTCGAATAAATAGGATAATTAGTGTACGTTTTCAAACATCTTTTAATATGCTTCAAAAATGAAACAATGGGTAAAAGCAAAAATATATATATATATATACTTAAACATTAGCAAAGTATGCTGTGAGTAGCCAAAAGAAAGACAAATAATGCTCAGCCAAATCTACATTTCAAAAGATTGTTTCTCTGAATAATATTTTATGGAAACCACAGTCTCTGAATCCTTTTTCATACTGAACCAAAAAAAAAAAAAAAAAAAGGTAAGTAACCTTTATATAAAACCTTTAAGTAAGCTTTAAAAAATGCAGGTTAAGTCCAAAATATTTATTTATTTATCTTTCAATTACATAAAAAATAGAACACTCAAACAGGAGAATATCTCGTGAGTCCATCACATATGATTTGACAAAAGTAATTGTATTGATTTTGGCTTAGAAACATACTAAGCTGAGGTTAAACTAGAAAATATTTCCTTACAATAAGATTATCTTAAGAAGATTTTTCTCAAACCGGTTTTACTGAGTACATATTTCAATGAATTTCCAAACTCTTGTAACAATGACTGACATGTAGAATAGAAGCTATGAATTAAACTGAATTCGTCAGTCTCCAGGAAATAAATAATAAGAAGAATGAAATTAGTTTATTCGGCTTATAAATAAATAATCCGGAAAATGGAAAGCAATATTTTTTATGCAGTTGTTACTTCCTTCTCTAAGAAAAAGATTCTTTAATCCATGAGCGGTTATATGGCAAGAAAAGAAAAGTTAAAAATTGAAAAGGGAATAAAAATATTTTAATGTTCACGATCACATGTGTGACTAGGACACTTCAAGTACTGACTGCAGGAAACATTTTGAAATTTCGAAATGTGTAATTAGCACAATATGATGATTCCACTAAAAAGGAAAGATAAATGTGGAGATCTACATATAGCGAAGAGTAGAAGGAAATGACGTCGAGGAAGAGACGTAAGTGACGATTTTACATGACTTATTTGTTGAAAAGCTAACCATTTGATTGTTAATTATTATGTAAACTATACATCTGGAATTGCTCAATTGTCTTATTTTCTTAATTTCTTATTCTTTCTGTTCAGCACTAATTTAGACAGTAGTTGTGACTAATGAGATTTCGATACCTTCTTCAGCATTCACCTTAAACCATCTCTTGGAAATTCTTCA